GATTCCAATGTGTGGGCTTGAGCCCACAACCCTCTGACTCGAGAGGCAAGAGTGCTACCACTGATCCTGGCTGACGCAGAATTGTATGACCCCTGCACTAACCCAATTTTAACGGTGAGCTATTCTTAGCGAACAGCACATAAAAGGACACAATGAAGGTACAGCTATAGCCTATGTGTAAGATGACTGGCTCAGTGTTCTGTATGTGATGCTGAGGGTTGCAGCTCTGATAAAAGAGCAGAATTCCCCCAATAGCACTCGCCCGTTAGTTATGACTATTTTGATAAAGTGGAAGGTTAATTAGTAATTGCCTGGTTTAAACAGTCGAGCGTGTTTCGAGTCACACTAACAGAAAATGACAGCTACAGTCGTAAGGTTAGGCGAGTTCGCAGTTCCAGCAATTAGAAGGTCCAAATTCATTGAGTAAAACTAGGGGCACGTCTGCTCGGTGTCTGCCTGCAAGACAGCAAATCACCAGGGACGCAGTTGTCGGTCGATCAGCTTATGGTTCAGGTTAGCAAGCCCTCAATCAGACTTCTATGATGTTTTATTCCGACATTTTACACCCGAGCATGCCTGCAACCACTTTGGGTCTCAGGAGCACAGAATGCCTTTAATTGAACACTGATGACATTGGTATGTGGGGAAGCAAGGTCAGTTCTTCTCAGAGGGCTCTGAATTTTGGCTCCGCGCTCTTTGGCTGTTCACTTCTCCCCCACAAATACTCTGTGTGTTTTTTTCAAAATGTATTTCTTCTCTCATCGCTAAATTAATTTTTTTTAACAGACCCTGAGCATTTGATGGGGAAGAGATGCCTTTAAGAGCAGCGGTCGAGAATACTAAACAATAATAGTCCTTACACTTGATACAGCGCCTTATCACGTTGTTTAGATGTCTCAAAACGCTTCACACGGTATATTGTAAAGTGTAATTACTGTGTGTTTTGTGGGCGAAACGAGGCAACCAGAAACAGTCCTGGATTGAGTAACCAAATTTATTTTTTTGGAGGGATGATTACCCCTGGAAAGCAATCTGCCAATCAACTAACAACCGGGTTCCTACTTATTGCTTGGTAAACAGAGGTGTATGGAGTAAGGAAACTTGCCTAATGTTTCATCCCGCCCGTGAATTAAACCCAGGTCCTCTTGATTGCAAAGCGAGTGCGCTAACCACTAAGCTAAGGAACTCCACAAGTCTCTGCGGGACTCTATGATTGGGATCCAGTCTAGTCAGTAAACCCAGCCTTAGGCTCATATCAGTCAATGAGACTGAATCCTAGCCTTGGAGTTCAGTTAGTGAGATAAATCATCAACAACTTGCATTTATATAGCGCCCTTCATGTGAGGCAGCATCTTGTATCTATCAGCCAGAAGTTTACTGTACTGCCAGCCTCAGTCAACCACCGAGATGGTCAGTCAATCAGTGGAACATCTTAAGGTCATGAATTTCAATGCTTGTGTCAATTAGCACTTTCGGTGTTAATTAACACATTAGACATTGCAATTCACATCCACTATTAAAGCACAGACATTTACAGCAACCTGCCCATGAGCAGGTCTGTCCACCCACTCATCTACAGAGCATCCTTCCCAGGTAGGCATTCTGAAGCTGAAGCCCACCTGCTGGGAGTGCTAAGAGGCGGGGGTTGAGGCAGGACATTGATTTGGGCTGAAAAAATATCCTTGCGTTTCATAAGGCGCCTGGTCCCATTATTGAGACGTCTCAAAGCGTTTCGTGGAATACACTGTAAAGTGAATTGACTGTATATTTTGTGGGTGAAATAAAGAATAATACGATTAACAATTGATATACTTCCCTTCACATCAAGAGGACGTCTCAAACTGCTTCACAGGATTTGTTGCAAAGTGCAAACTGCGTGTGTTTTATAGGCCAATGCCCCATAAACAGTCGTGAAGTAAGTGACTAATTTGAATCATTTCAACAACATGTACTACAAAATGATGTGACTGTGTATTTTGTGGGGTGAACCCGGCAGCCAAATTGCATTCAGCAATATCCCACAAACAGCCATGAAGTGGATGAAGTAATTTTTTGGAGGGGGATTGTCAGCCAGGACCCTGAGAGAGAAACTCCCTTCCCTTTTCAAATAGTGCTGCGGGATCTTTAACGTCCGCCTGAACAGGCAGATGTTAATAAGAGTCATTAAACCTCTTTCTACTGAAGAACTAATCCAAAATTCCGATGCCCATTTTCTGACCCGCACCAAATCCTGCACGCCCATCACCCTTGCCAAGCATAATTGTCTCCCCGTCTCCCACTGTATCGACTTCAATGTCCTCACCCTTAACTATAAATCTCTTCACACCCGAGCACCACCTCTGTAATCTTCTCCTACCCAACTCCTCTGCTGAACCCTTGCATGCTGCTAGCTCGTGCTTACTGCAAGTCCTGTCCCTGCCACCATCGGTGACTGAGTCCTCAGTTTCTAGGTTCAGAACTTCTGGAACTCCCCTCTTCCTCTCTATCTGTCCTTAAATTTCCCCTTGAAATCTACTTCTTTGAACACACCTATGGTCACTGCCCCACCACCCCTACTCCCACTCCCTGCATCCTACACTAAACTCCTTATAATGACACTCCAAGGGAAAAAGGCTCAGCTATCCAGACCAGCGAGTTAGATGTTTAAGTGCATAAATAAATGTGGCCGGGATATTGACAGCATGATGATTTCAAATGGTAGTGATGAGTTAAAGCCGGGGTCAAGTTATCAGGAGTTTACAGTAAATGCAAGTTTTTGTTGTCCTAAATTCTTTCCCTGAGAACATCTGCATTACCGCAACACCTGGTAGACATGCACACGTTGGAAAGAGCTAGTATTTTTATAGCACCTCGTTGTATCAAAATGGTAACCATCATGGCAGCTATTTGCATCTGGAAAGTCACACAAGCAGCCAAGAAATGAATGGTCAAACTTTCCGGAGAATCTCCCTTCTTTCCCTGACAACATCTGCGTTACCACAACACCAGGTGTACACGCACATATTAGAGTGACCTTGTATTTTTATGCATTATTATAGTTTTAAGGTTTCTCCCCACCTGGGTTCGATTCCTGGGTGCAGTGAAATCTGAGGCAAGTTTCTTTACTCCAAAATGTTTACCTCGCAGTAAATAAGAACACAATTGTTAATTCAATTGGTGGATTGCTTTCCAGGCAAGGATTTTTTTTCATGACCCATCACAGATCTTTAGCCACCTGAACAGGGAAACAGGAGATGAGTTTTAACAACAACCTGAAGTTAAATAGCGCCATTTATACTGCACAGCAACAGAGTCAGATATTGAGCAAGGGAAAAGTGGGATGTAACCATAAAGAGATAATAGTTTAATAATAATCCTTGTCTTTGATGTAGTGCTTTATCACGTCATCTAGACATCTCAAAGTGCTTCACAGGATATCCCGCACAGTGGATTGACTGTATATTTTGAAACGCATTTCAAAATATGGGAAAACAGCAATTTCCCACAAACAGCCATGGAATGAGTGACCAATTTTATTTGGAGGATTGTTAGCCAGGATACCAGGAGAGAGAAACTCTCTTCTCTTTTTGAATAACGCCGCGGGATGTTTAACATCCACCTGGACAAGCAGACAGGACTTCGGTTTAACATCTCATCTGAAGGACGGCACCTCTGACAATGCAACACACCCCAGCACTGCATCAGAGCATCAGCTCAGACTATGTGATTCCAAGTCCCGACGTGGGACTGAACCCCAACCTTCTGATTCAGAGGCGAGAGAGAGAGAGCGCCTCCACTGCATCGGGGAACACCTACTTAGGTAGGTTTTAAGGTGGGATTGAAAGACAGACAGATAGTGGGGTGAGGGGAAGGGATAGAGACGTGGAGTTCCACAGCGTACGGGCGTAGTGACTGATGAGAGCGGGGCACACGCCAAAGCCTGAGTTAGCCAAGCATCGGAATTATTCCAGCAAAATGTGAAACAGTGCTATTAGAATTGGCATAAGTGGTGGAGGGTGGTGGGTGGGTGGGAGGGAGGGGTTAGATTCTTGTTCACTGTGGCCCAGGTCAAGACTGTTAAAACTAAACTGACTCACAACTTCAATGAGAGATCATTTGTTTAGCCTGCTCTGGGGCTATATTCAAGCGCTATTCCCCAGGGAGAGGTACAATGCACCAGCGTATGAAACCAAACCACAGCACCTGCCTGTTCTCCTCAGCACACAGATGTTACTCGAAAAATCTTGTGTCGTTCCTTGGTCATGTTTTCTCTTAAAATGCAAATGAAGTGTGAGCCAGCAGAAGAAAATTACTCTTATAATTTTGGTATCCAGGTGCCAGCCAGGCTCAGTCAGGAACTCTCTCGCCTCGGAGTCAGAAGGTCAAGGGGGTCAGCCCCCTGCATCAGGGCTTTCAACTCACATCATGTAGGCTGACGCTCCAATACAGTGCTGGCGGTGGGAGTCGTGGGGGTTGGGGGTGCGGGGGTGTGGGGAAACACTACATTATTGGCGGTGTCATGCTTCAGATGAGACGTTAAACTGAGATCACATCTGTGCCTTTTCAAGTGGACGACAAGCATCCCGTAGCACTATACGACTTGATAAGATGCTATATCAAGTGCAAGAATTATTATTATTTTATTATTACCTAGACCCCCTGCCCCTAATCACCCAAGTTGCCAAGAACTGCCAGCATTACTCCAGTGGTGATCGACTCCCTTCACAACCCTCCTTCGACATGCATTGAATTGGGGATTTGGATCTAGTATTGTTAAGCATTCAATATGCAAAGCGTTATGCCAAAACCAACCCTCAGTTGGGTCCCAAATGGATTAAAATATCTTGGCATCAATTCCAGGAAACATTCAAGAACAATCTGTTCAAGTAATTAAGAGCATAAACAGCAAATTCAGTGTGCTGGAAAGAGTTTACTCTCTTGAGTAATGGTGGATACAGCTAAAGTGATGTTGGTAACCTCAATTTAATTATAAAACGACTTTGCTTCTGTTAATCTCCCAGGGTACAGAGGAGTTACAGAATCTCAACACGGAATCAAAGGAGAACAAGCGTCTCTTCACAGGATACAGAAGAGAGGCATCTCATCACAACAACAACAACTTGCCCCTCACGTAGGTTGGTGTCCTAGAGTGCTTGAGACTGAACTGGGGAGACGGGGGAGGTGAATAAAGGCATGGTTGAAAAGAAAGATCTTTAGGCGTGATCTGAAGATGGGGAAGGAGGGGGGCGAGATGGAGGGATAGAGGAAGAGTATTCCAGGGTTTCAGGGCATAATGGCCAAAAGCGGTGGGGTCGAGGGACAAGCAGGAGGCCAGAACCAGTCGAGCAGAGGCTGCAAGTAGTGGGTTGGGGAGTAAGCAGTTCGGAGAGGTAGGAAGATGCCAGGGCATAAAGGGATTTGAAGACTAATGTGAGGATCTTGAAATCAATCTGTCTGGTGATAGGGAGCCAGTGGAGGACTGGTGTGAAGGGGGTACGGAATTTAGTATACGGTACAGAGAGAGAGAGAGAGAGAGAGATGTCTCATCATAGTCTAATACGGTACAGAAAGAGAGCACATCTAATCACGGGTCACAGAGAAGAGAGACGACACAGAGGAGATGGGGAAATTCTCAAAGTTATCAGAGGATCTATAGATCCATGGAATCTGGATGTCCAAATCTCTGCTTTAACAAGAATAACAGCAACAAGTTACATTTGTATAGCATCTTTCACTCCGGGAGGACGTCCCAAAGCTCTAGAGAGTTTGGGATTTGGACCTGAGTTAGGGGTTGGGATCAGGAGCGATGGAGGGCAGGGAGGGTGGGGATAGGAGGGCGACTGAAGGTGCAGTTGAAGAGGAGGGTCTTGAGATGGATCTTGAAGGAGACAAGAATTTTACAAGCAATTTATTAGCATTTAAAAAAATCCAGGTCGCTCCGTGTCTTCAATGCTCCACTCCCGATAGATAAACATCAAGACGCACTTGACATGCTCAGTTTTCTGGTTTTTTTTAAATTGTGTAACAAACTTTCTTACGGAATAGTCAATTATTAAGTCTTTGGCAAAATAGAAAGGTTAGAAACGTCAAAAAATTGTCGTTGCCTTAGGAACACAGGAGGCAGAAAAGACCTCAGTTTAACATCTCATCCTCCAGCACTGCACGTTAATATATAAGAGGAACAGGAGGGGTCCCAGTACAGATCCCTGTGGATTCTGCTTAGTACCTCTTCCCATTGTGACCCAGCTCCGCTAACAAAGACCCTCTGCTTCCTTCTCTTCAGCCAGTTCTGAATCCACGTCCATGTCTTGCCCTTGAGACCCAGTGACAACAGTTGGTTAATAAACCTTTCACGTGGTATTTTGTCAAACGCCGTTTGCAAGTCCTGATTCAACGGAATCAACTCAACCCTGATTCAAGTCAACAGAATTCAACAAGAGCCTGATTCTAACCATTCGATTCCCAGGTGGGGCGAAACCTTTGGCAAGTTTCCTCAACAACAACAACAACAACAAGATTCCATTTATAGAGCGCCTTTCACGTCGGGAGGACATCCCAAGGCGCTGTACAGTTGGGTCAGGACCCGAGCACAGGGGGAAATGGTCAGGGTGAGGGGAGGGAAGGGAGGGAGCGAGGAGGGGGTAGAGAGTCGAGAGGGGAGCTGAAGGCACGTTCAAAGAGAAAGGTCTTGAGACCGGCCTTGAAGGAGGAAAGGGAGGAAGCGGCGTAGGCACTGGGGGATGGAGTTCCAGAGCCTAGGAGCTGAGAGGCTGAAGGTCCGGCCACCGATGGTAGGGCGGTTGGGGCGGGGGATGTGGAGCAGACTGAGGAACGGAGGGTACGGGCAGGTAGGTAGGGGGATAGTAGGTCGGAGAGGTAGGAGGGAGCAAGGCCGTGAATGACCTTGTAGGTGAGGATGAGGATCTTGAAATTGATCGATCCTCTGGGGGATGGGGAGCCAGTGGAGGCGAGCGAGGGTGGGAGTGATGTGGTCCCGAAGCCTGGTGTACAGTAAATAGGGACCCAGTTGTTAGTTGATTGGCAGATCGATTTCCGGAACTAATAATCCCTCAAAAAAAATTGGTCACTCAATCCATGACTGTTTGTGGGACACTTCTGTGCGCAATTGGCTTCTGGTTTCGCTCACAATTACACAGTCAATCTACTTTGCAATATATTCTGTGAAGCGCTTTGAGATGTCAACGTGATAAGGCGCCATATCGAATGCAAGGACTATTATTATAACCAACCATTCACCAGTCTTTAAAGTGTGTTGTAATAAAATAAAATAGGAGAAAGCTGACTTAACTGAGAGCGCTAATGCAGATCAAGAGCTAAGGACAACTGAAAGAATGCCTCGAGCACTTCACAAGTTCAGTAAGTTTTTTCAAAGAGGAATTTTCTTTTGAATCTAACAAAAAAATCCATCAGGGCTGATTACAACCGCGGAAAAGATTGCCATCAAGTGGTCAATTGGAAAAATTGCTCATTTTCTGTACTTGACATCAGTTATAATAATAATCCTTGCATTTAATATTCTGCCTCATCACACTGTCGGGACGTCTTCAAGCGCGTCACAGAATATATTGTAAAGTGAATTGACTGTATTTTGTGGGTGACACACGGCAGCCAAATGCATACAGCAGTGCCCCAAAGAGTCATGGATTGAGTGCCAAATTATTATTACTTTTTGAAGGGATCATTACCCCCGGAAAGTGATCCGACAATCGACTAACAACTGGTTCCTACTTACTGCTAGGTAAACAGAGGAGTGTGGAGTAAGGAAACTTGCCTAAGGTTTCACCCCGGCTGGGAATGGAATCTAGGTCTTCTCGTTTGCAAGGCGAGTGCTCTAACAACAACAACAATAAATTACATTTGTATAACAGATACACTACAAGAATCCACGACTGTACTACTTGAAACACCAATTACAGTAACAAAATGTATCTTAGTTTTCAGTGAGATACAGCAACGAGTTGAGTGCTTTGGGTCCATTAGCCTTGTGTTTTGTTGGCTTCACAGTGTGGGTGCAATATGCAATGATTATAATGGGGCACTGTACCTTCACACAAGATCACAAGATCAATTCAGATGAAGAAGGCCCTTCAGCCCATTCGATCTCAATCTTCCAGAATCCCCAATCTACTGTCCTCCCAGTATGTGTTCCTCAAACCCATTTAAAATCTTATAGGAGTCCTGTAGCGTAGTGGTTAGCGCGCTCGCCTCACAAGCAAGAGGACCCGGGTTTTTTTTCCGAGCAGGGCGAAACCTTAGGCAAGTTTCCTTACTTCACACACCTCTGTTTACCCAGCAGTGAGTAGGAACCCAAGGTTAGTCAACTGGCGATCGCTTTCCGGGAGGTAATAATCCATCAAAACAAAATGTGGTCACTCAATTCATGACCTTTTGAGGGACACTGCTGTGCGTAATTGGCTGCCAGGTTTTGCACAAGAATCCACTTTACAATATATTCGTTGAAGCCCTTTGAGTCGTCTTAATAACGAGATAAGGCAAATGCAAGGATTATTATTATTATTATTATTACTATTATTACACCTCCATAACGCCCCCTCTCAGACATCTCGTCGAACCTTTGGTCGTTGAATTGTTGCTCAAAGCCGATACCTCTGACTTCAACACATACATCAGAGGTTCCCAAACTTTCTGGGCCCAAGGTCCCACCATGACCTTAGGCGCCCTGACCCCACACAATGAATCCATAGAAATTGGGCACCTTACAATTTAAGTGAATTAGTCAAGAAAATTAATATAGTAATGACTGCAATGGTAATGTAGATATCACACAAACTCGAGCATCTGCAATGCCTGATTAGTAAGACACAACTCACCTCATTCCTCTCGCCTCGCCCACCATTGGCCCGAGAGGTGCACAGGTAGCGAGGCGCTGTGATTGGGCCACGGGGAGCAAGTGTTGCGATTGGCGTGTGAGGGTGGAGCTACGATTGGCCCATAGGGAGCGAGGGCTGCGATTGGTCCAAAGGGAGCCAGGGCTGTCACTGTCATGTGATGGTAGATCCATGATTGGTCCACCCCGTGCCTCGCGCACCCTGGACCTCGTGCCTCGAGGGGTGTGGGTTGCGTGAGGTGGGTGGGCAGTTGACAATTGGTGAATGACAGTGGGTGGGTGACAGTTGACAGTTGATGGGTGACAGTTGGTCAGTGACAGTTGGTAAGTGACAGTTGGCAGTTGGGGGGTGGGACAGTTGACAGTTGGGGGTGTGACAATTGGTGGGTGACAGTTGGTGAGTGACAGTTGACAATTGGTGAGTGACAGTTGGTGAGTGACAGTTGATAATTGATGGGTGACAGTTGCTGAGTGACAGTTCGTGTGTGACAGTTGGTGGGTGACAGTTGGTGGGTGACAGTTGACAGTTGGTGGGTGACAGTTGGCGAGTGAGAGATGGTGGGTGACATTTGGTGGGTGATAGTGCCCAGAGCACCCTGGATCCTGAAGCCTTGAAACCCATCTCGCAGACCCGTTTGAGAACTAATGACGGCCATCTCAACCACATGTTGGAAGCCCCTCCTCGGGAAGGGAGACATATGTTTTTGAACTAAACATATAAGCGCAGATCAAAACCAATAAGTGATGCTGGTATTGATCACAATTCAATCTCCGCTGGCCACATTGGCTGGATCACAGCAGCTGCAGAAATATCACATTCGCCTACAGCTCTTGAAGATAAGGTGTCAGGGGAGTCTCCGGTGTTTTTATGTTTGATACTGACCTCATGTTGCTCTGGGAAAAGGGGGGGGGAGCGTGAGGAACGTGGGGGAGGGGGGGGGCTATCTGCCGGTGTCAACACCTATCTGTCATTTCCTTCACACCAACCCCAAGGGGTGAAAAGCAGAGATTGAAATCAGATGATTAAGGAGGCATTATTGTAAGCTTTACACTTTGAGGATGGAGCAGGGGGGCGGGGGGCGGGGGGCGGGGAGGAATGTGGACTTGGTTGAACCCTCTCTGGAAGTCATCAGACCGGCAAAGGCAGCTTTGGTGATGTGAGCTGTAACCCCATCACCTTGACAGACAACAGTGTCAAAATTAGCACCTCCCGAAACTTCCTTTGAAGTAACATGAGTTTTCTGTTCAGAGCTTTCAACGCCACTGGGGGCAACTTTTTCTTATGGAATCTGAGACCTCTGCAGTATAGCTTTCTTCACTCCATCCTTTGTTACCAAATCATTTCCTACTAATGAAGTGCGAACAGTAAATACTTGACGAGTGCGGGTCTTACAGTAAAGCATTTGGAATTGACAACTGGTCTTCCTATATTCCAAACAATCATAAAATCCACATACTGAGAAATCTTTCCACTATACTTTATTTACGAAATGTAGCATTCCTCAACATTGATACTGATAAACTGCTCACGATGCCCAAAAAATATTTTAAAAAGAAAATGCAGATAGAAAACACCAAGACACCATTACCTGATGGTAGTGCTCTTGCCGCTGTGTCGAAAGGCTCTGGATTCAAGCCCCACGTCAGGACTTTGAACTCACAATCTAGGCTGACACTACAATACAGTGCTAAGGATGTGTTCCAGTGTCGGGAGGTGACGTCCTTTCGATGATATGTTAAACTGAAGTCCTGTCTTCCATGTTCAGGTGGATGCTAAAGATCCCATGGCACTGTTGGAAAAAGAGGGTTTCTCCCAGCATTATGGCCAATAATCCCCTAAAATAAAATTGTTCATTCACTTCATTGGCTCATTTGCCTACAAAATACAGTAAAGCATACTTTACAACAACAATTTGGATTTATATAGCGCCCTCCGCGCCGGACAGCATCTCAGAGCGCTTCACGGTAACGGATCCCGGGGCCGACCCAAGGGGAGGGGGAGGAAGGTGACCAAAGGCGCGGTTGAAAAGAAAAGTCTTCAGCCGAGACCTGAAAATAGAAAAGGGGTGAGGCGAAGGGAGTGAGGAAGGGAGTTCCATAGCCTCGGGGCATAGTGGCTGAAGGCACCGCCGCCAAGGGTGGAGCGGAGGAGGATTCGGGGGACATGGAGGAGGCCAGACACAGTGGAGCGAAGGCAACGGGCACTGTTGAGAGGAGAGAGGTCAGAGAGGTAGGGGGGTGCAGAGGAGTGGAGGGATTTGATGACAAGGGTGAGGATCTTGAAGTCGATCCTTTCTTGGGCAGACAGCCAGTGCAGTCTGGCAAGGCCTGGGGTGTGTCGGGGAGCACAGTTTCGTGCGGATAAGAATGCGGGCAGCAGAGTTTTGGATGTAAAGTGGATGTTTTACAATAAACCCTTTGAAGCACTTTGAGACGTCCTCCTGATGTGAAAGGTGCTGTTTCAAAGGTAAGGACTGTTACCATTTTCTTTTGAGTCCAATGGCAATGGAAACTGAGAAATCTTTCCTCTGTACTTTATTTACAGAATGCAGCATTTCCCAAAAGTGATGCTAATAAACTGTTCACAAATCACTGTGCCGTGGACACTCAGAAAGTCACTTGCAGCTGACCAATTAATCAATAGAAGTTAAAGCTGGATTTCAGAATTTGCCAGTTTCTGGGGACTCGAAAATAATAATAATCCTTGCATTTGATATAGCACCTTATCAAGGCGCTTCACAGAATATATACTGTGAAGTGAATTGATTGTATATTTTGTGGGCGAAATGCGGTAGGCAATTCCACACATCAGTGTCCCACAAACAGTTGTGGATTGAGTGACCGAATTATTGAATTTATTTATTTTTGAAGGATATTACTCCCAGAAAGCAATGCACCAATGGATTAACAACCGAGTTCCTACTTACTGCTAGGTAACAGAGGCGTGTGGAGTCAGGAAACTTGGCTAAGATTTCGCCCCGTCCAGGAATCGAACCCGAGCCCTCTCGCTTGCGAGGCGAGCGCTCTAACCAATACACTATAACAACAAGATTACATTTGTATAGCGCCTTTTACGTCGGGAGGACGTCCCAAGGCACTGGACAGAGTACAGCATTTCAGACCCGAGCTGGGGTTGGGGGGGAAGGGAGGGGAGGGGAAGAGGACTGGCCGATGGCATGGTCGAAGAGGGTCTTGAGGTGTGACTTGAAGGAGGCTGAGGGGGCGAGGCGGAGTGACTGGCGGATGGAATTCTAGAGGTTGGGGGCAGAGTGGCTGAAGGCTCTCCCGCTAATGGTGGAGCGGGCCAGAACCGGCTGAGCGGAGGGAACGGCCGGGTTGGTAGGGGGTTAGGAGGTCGCAGAGGTAGGGTGGGGCGAAGCCATGGAGGGCTTTGTAGGTGAGGACCAGGATCTTGAAGCGGATCCTCTAAAGGACAGAGAGCCAATGGAGTCGGGCGAGAATGGGGTCACGGAGTTTGGTGCGGGAGAGGACACGGGCTGCAGAGTTTGGGATTATCTGCAGCCTGTGGAGGGAGGAGTTGGGAAGGCCGAGTTGATGAAGGCATGAACAAGAGTTCCAGCGGACTGAGGTAGTGGCGGAGTCGGGCGATGTTACGGAGGTGAGGGAAGGCAGGAGTGGGTCATGGCTTGGATGTAGGGGAGAAAAGACTCTAAAATCCTACATAAAAAGAGTAAACCTACACGCAGGTGGATTTTCTCCCCAACATTGCGTTAACTTTCCAGAGAACAACAAATTTAAATGACCGCAAAGAAAAGGAAGGGAAGAGGATTTGTTCTTAGGTTGCAAAGATGGAAGTGAAACTATTGAAAAGGCTTTCAAGATTTTTTTTATTGTTTCTGTATACTCAACATAAAGGGGAACAAAATTAAACAATGTGATCATTTTCCATACAGGTCAAAGTTTACAAATAAGTTGAAATCTTTTCTATAATCGTTATTAAAGGGTATTGTCAAATCAACTTCACTAAAAACTCGCCACAGAAAACTATGCAGGTAAATATTGATTTGGAATCGTTTTAACTCAACCAGATGCCTTCACATTGTGTTTTTATTTACACTTTTATTTTTAAGAACTCTAACTTAGGAAATGTAAAAGCAAGTTCATGAAATTAACATCCCATTTTAAATAATTCACAACATTCATATAATTGCATAAGTATGATCAAAGATGTAAGAGAGGTAAAAAGTGAAGGACTATACATACACATGTGTGAGAAGCAGCTTACAGCATTTGAACAGTGTGTGCAACAGGTACATATAGTATTATTAAAACAGGGTGACAAATCACATACATCTGTGAAACAGACACTGCAACGAGTATCTTATTAGATCAAACTTTTGTCATTACTTAAAAAAACTACCCTGCAACTACCAGGAAAAGTTAAACTACAAGATAGTATTTTTTAAAAAAACATTCATTTTCCATAGGGTTATTCAAACGTTGGAACCTCAACACTGTAAAATTGCTTAAAATGTTATATACAAAACTTCAGATTTTTTTAAAATGTATTTACACAAAAAATTCTAAACAGTTCAACAGGCTGGAATGGAAACCAAATTCAATCTCAACAAGAAATACTAAATGGTTGAAGGAAAATTTATTGTTGTGAAGAATGAAGACAAACAGTAGATTGGCGTCAATGCCAACAGTAATATTCGACCCATTACAGTGTGTGGTGTGTGTGAGCGAGAACAAAGAAGAATGCATGAAGAGTAACATATTCTTCAAAATATTTTTCAAAATTGTGGCTCCAATGTCAAATGAATTTAGCAGTTCTATTTTATTAAAATCATTGTCAGGCAAGACATTGAACCCAAGACTGAAAGGAGGAAAAAATGAAATATTTTAAATCTCTGGCATATTTAGCATGCCAAAAAGCACACGTCTGTGTTCGTGCTTTTAGTATTCAGGTGATGCTTGGGTTAAAAAGACATTTTGAAGCCCGCATTTGCTCACTGTTTTTTCAAAAATCAACAAATGCAACTAAAAGACAAGCATGATACACATCAGAAGATCCCAAGGAGTTTCTGCAGCACTGCCCTCTATGCAAAAAGTGTGACGTTGTGCACCAAAGTTTGCCTTTGTTCAATTAAACTCATTTAAGTTTGACGTGTGTGGATTGTGAAGTCGGCTTTCGTACTGAAAACGAACGTGCTTCAGTGACAGCTATTGGTAAGATAATAAAAGTAGCTTTGCCTTGGCATCTAAGGCAGCATGCAACTTTATGATGGGCTATCTAAGGCTATTACCCGTAGTTTGAACCAGTAAAACTAAGGCTACACAAGTATTCCTTTAGAAGCAAAGATTTGGAGATTTTATACAAATTCGATAAAAATATAATTTCCGCTGTTATTGTTTTGTAAGAAAAACCATAAATATAGTTTTAATTTCTACCGGGTTCATGTTTGCCCCGTACTCTCCCCCATCCCTCAACCGAGGCCACTAGTTTCATAACTGCGAAAAAAAAAGTGACTATTCAGAGGAGAAACAGTCGGAAAATTAAGATTTAGAAGAGAGTTGTGCATGGAACTCAACAGAACAGATTAATTGGCGTGTGAGAGATGAACAATGGTACAAAAAGCCCTGGTTAGACTGAACAAATTTGCAGTTGCATATTCTTTGATAAGAATCCTGGGTAACTCAAAATAGCATCGAGTTTTACAAAGATATAAAGTTATTGATTTTTTTTTAATAAAAGTAGCCTTTTCTTCCTAATAAGGGATACGATTCCTAAGTACAGTAAAAATGCGTTCATTTGGGCATATACAACAAATGTAAGAAAAGGAAAGACATTGAAATATGAACATTCTACTTCATCTTACTGAGATAAGTCTTCCAAGGTAGATCCCACTAAACAAGTCCTGAGTAAAACATCAGAAAAGGAAAGAAGGCAGGCGTTTTAAAATGTAATGGTTTTACTGGTTAGATGAAACTAACCACTGAATTGGTTAGATAAATCTAAAAGCTTCCCGAAAAGTCAATTGGTGTATTCGCTGTACATACATACAGTGCCTTTCTATAGCAAAACAAAATGGCAAGCACCTATTCTGCATGTTTTTTTTTAAAGTTCCCTTTTTAATAAAAAATAGTCAGTATGCTTGATATTTCTCAGATCAACGCGCAAGGATTCTGCGGGTACAATAAAAATATTCAAGTAGTGAAGCTGATTCTGTACATTTACAGCTTCACTGAAACACGTTAAGAATTTAAGAGTAAATATGATTCAATTATTAAACAGTTATGTTTTGACAGCTAATCAGGTAAGCAAACTTTTTTTAAATAGAGAACATAAACTTTTGTAATATTTACAACAGTAATCATATCCAGTTATATATAAAACATTACAGTGTTTTGCACTATGTTTTAACTGCTCTATTGTAACTGTTAAAATCGACAAGTACTATGTAGAGTCTGTAACCACAGATCGATAAATACCAAATAAGATTTGTTATCCATCAAGTCTCCAAGCTCCAGTGCATAGAAGTCATCAATCGTTTTGATTGCTCAGAGGCTCATGCGCTTTTTTTAAAATTGTATTTATTTTAAATAATCATCTCTAAAGGCACAATTTTTCTTTTCGTTCCAAATTAATGAATAGACACAGGAAGAACAATGCTGCAGTCCTACTGTGCTCAGTAGTTATAATAATCAGCTAGACTACCTCCATTTTGAGCAAGACATCGTCAAATATCAGTCAGATTCAAGCTTTTTATGATGGCTGAATATGAAAAGATATTGTTGGTCGCAAACTGTTGTCCGTTGGGTAATTAAGTCAAAAGAGGATATGCAGATATTTTGCTCCTCTGAACACAGCACCAGTGAGCAGGTGAAATTCTTCTTGTTCCCTCCTAACACCCACCGTTTAAGGAAAGCATGTGTTTAAACACACACTGTGCCAGATTAAATTACATCCATCTCACAACGAGTCACTTGAAGTCTTTGTTAATAACTCCACTCTGACGGATTCTTACCTCCTGCAAAACAAAGAGCAAATCATTTTTCATTTATTTCGCCCACAAAATACAGTCAAATTTCTTTGCAATATATTCTGTGAAGCACTTTGGGATCTGATAAGGCGCTATATCAAATGCAAGTATTATTATTATATTATTAACAGAATAAACCACTTGCTGATGTTGCCATGGGTTACAGGAACACGTTGAGTTAAACGTTTGATAAAATAAAGAACTTCCTTTAAGACCAAACATTTTAATCGATTTTGTTTACCTATTGTAAACCCGAACAAAGTTGTTTCCAACACAGGATTACATAGCAATCAGGAGAAACAGAAGCCATTCAGTGTGATGAGCTTGCTCTGGCATAAAACCATTCCCATGCAACATAGCTTCATACCAGATTACCCTTGTGCTAACAGCACCCAATGTAGGAACTCGGTTTTTGGATTTATTCCCAAATGGGTTTATTTTGTTTGGCTTAATTCTAATTATTGGCTCATTTTAAAAGTAGCCATTTTTCCTAAGGGTTCCATTTTCTTATCTCTTGGAAAATAGACACTGTGGGTTTATACTCCACCACGTTTCCTCAGCGTCACACTTCAAAAATAATTTGGGCTCAAGGGCAAATGCTCAAATGTGATTGAAGGATCTAATCATTGTTAAACAGCTCCGCTGAGGCAGGGAAGGAGATAAGTGGGGTCTCCTTGGAGCTGAACTGTCTCCAAGGTGAGATATTTGACAGCGGAATAACACAAACGAGCCATCCCACTGTGACAAACTCTGTAGTCCTGAGCCAAGCAGGGCCGCAGCACTCCAGGGCACTGCTGATCTCAACCCAACCAGCCTGGCTCATCAGCAGGACTTGGAAGGGCAGACCAGTTATTGTGGGGGGCAGGGAATCCTCCCACTCAGTTCCTGCAAGTGAAAGCCTGGGTAGGGTGATCCGAGGTGGAAAGAGTACCCGATTATGTTAAAGTTGCAAGTCTAATTTACCTAATGTAACAGTGGAAAAATAACTCATTTAGAAATGAATTGTACAATTATTTTCAGGGAATAACACTGAATTCTTTCAATGATTACTTAAATTATGTCAGAAAGTTGCAAAAATTGTCAGTACTGTACATTATTTATGTAGTTTTGCTGTTGTAGCAGCAGTAGTAAGAGTGGGACTAGTTTGTAGCTCCTTCACAGGCACGATAGCCTCCTTCTGTGCTGCAAGATTTTACATATTCTATATCACATGAGCGAGATATTACCAAGTATGCTAAAAACTTACTTGGACTGAACAGACAACTTTGTTTTCTTGGATTCCTTCACACAGCGTTTGCATCTGTACAGCTCTTCTCTATGGCAGCGGAGATGAATCTGAACATTTGTCCGACGAAAGAAGGATTTCTCACACAGCTAAAAACAACGGTTATTATTAATTAAAAAAAACAGTAGACAAGACAGCTAAGGCGTGGTAAAATTCAGATTAAGGCAAAATACATGCAGTAGTTAAGATTGGCTGCCGCGTTTGCCCTCAAATATACAGTCAATTCACTTTACAGTGTGTTCTGTGAAGCGCTTTGGGACATCCTCCTGACGTGAAAAGCGCTATATCAAATGCAAGGATTATTATTATTATTATTATTATTAAGAGTCGTTATAAGAATCTCGCTCAATACGGTATTCCCGCCGTGCATTCGACCCACCCCCACTAATAAATACAGTAATTAAAATACAATAAAGCAGGCCACTTCCCCAATTTTAGATTGGAAGAATTCATCAGTTACAGAGTTTTCTCTCAGGAGATTCCAACACACTGCACCACGATAGCCGGCTGGGGAAAGGTCAGGCTCAACTGTGAAGAACTCTGCAGGGGAGTGACCTGCCAATATTTACTGCCAAGGCCCACACATGAATAACAGTCACTTGGGTAGGGTACCATAGAGCAACCTTAATAATAATAATCCTTGCATTTGATATAGCGCTTTTCGCGTCGGGAGGACGTCCTAAAGCGCTTCACAGAACACACTGTAAAGTGAATTGACTGTATATTTGTGGGCGAACGCGGCAGCCAATTGCGCACAGCAATGTCCCACAAACAGTCGTAGATTGAAAATGACCAATTTTATTATTGGTTTTGGAGGGATTATTATTGTGGAATCACACCCCAGCTAGAGGAGTAGAAAGGCATATTACGAATCATTGTGAAACGTTAACAACAAGTCGAAATGTGTATTTAGATTGAACACAATTGATTTAACGATCAATAGGTACAAAATATGGACATAATAGGTACAAAATATGAAGCAAAAACTAAGCGTACAGTCAATAATTTTACAGTTATTACAATTTACTTGAATTTACAATTTATAACCCAAAACTAAACGTAGATTCACCCATTTAAGCTGGTTTAAAACATGGTTGGTAGTACTTACCAGACATGGCCACAGCTTTCCCTTAGTGTGTCTAATTCGATGCATGAACAGGGAATCGCAGTTTGTGAAAGTTGTGCTACATTCCCGGCAGGTGTGGCGTGCTGGAGCTTTGGTCTTTTTCACTTGCTCTGCAGTCTTTCTCCTCGCGGCCCTCTTCAACATTTCACGAACTTCTGGCTGAATTTTCCTCAGCATTTCCGCAGCCCCCCGCAAATTCTACAGAGAAATCACACAGCACTTATAACCATCCTCACCAACAAGATGATATGATCATGTGAGGAATTTGTTACAAATACATTCAGCATTTTTAACATAAAGTGTCTCAGGAAAACAAAAATGTATACAGCACTAAACACTGTAATATCAACAACAACAAAAAGTTGAAACCTAGGCGTCTCAACGTTTTAAGTGTCTGATCAGTTATAAGTAGCGAGGATTAAGTCAAGCAGAGCACTCATTTTTTGAAAGAAGTTTCAGAACTTTCTATTTCCAGCTAAAATAGCAGATTAGCATTGGTACAAGAATGTTTTAACGTCAACATATCAATAGTATCTTTTTAAGATTGAAACCCTTTCCAATCTTAAGCATCAGTTTAGCTCAGTAGGTAGCACTCTGACCTCGGAGACAGAGGGTTGTGGATTCAAGCCCCATGTCAGAACTTTCTGACATATTCCAATACAGCCCTGGGGATGGAAGCATTGTCTAAGATGCAGTCCTCCAAATGAGACATTCAATAAATATCCTGTAGCACTATTGGAAAAGACAAGGAAGTTTCTCTCTCTCGGTGTCCTGGCCCAAATAAAATTAGTCATTCACTTCAGGATAACTTGTTGGACGTTGCTGTGTGCAAATTGGCTGCTGCGTTCACCTACAAATATAGTCACTTTGAGACATTATAGTGCTTTGAGACATTCAAAAACTGATAGCACTAGTTGCAATGCAAAGATAATTATTTTCATAATAACAGAAGATAACTGTTAAGAAAGTGTCTTAAAGTACAGTTAATACATTCTAGCTGTGCGTGTACATATGTAAGGCTGTACATTCACATGCTCAATATCACTAACGTGTATCACTCACTACGTGCATGCGTATGAGAATTATTGAATGTTGCCAGGAACCAGAAATAATTCACCAATCAGTTCTGACGAAAGGTCATCAACCTGAAACATTAACTGAAACATCATTTTTCCCTCTCCGTAGATGCTGCCTGATCTGCTGAATGTTCTATTTTATTTTAGATTTCAGCATCTGCAATATTTTGCCTTTTATTCTACCAGCTAAATCCATTTTGTTTTAGAATTTACATGTGTACAGAACTGTGATAGTCTTCAAATCAGACTCAATCGGAATGCCAATTTTCTATATTTCTTAAAAAGATTTTAATAAAGACTGAAAGTGAAGAATTTTCCACAATTCTACACAATCAACTTTTAAGACAAAATGGTTTAAAACATGTTAAGGTTAAATGGAATTGGATGTTAAGAGGAAATGTATCCTAAACCTAAATTAATATGAAGCTCTTCTCAATAACTTGCATTTAGATAGCGCCCTTCATGATGGGAAGCGTCTCAAGAGTGCTTGACGGTGGCGGAGCCTGATGGCGAGCCAGGGTGTGGGGGGCGAAAGGGGTGCCCGTAAGCACAGTTGAAGCGGAAGGTTTTCAGGTGCAACCTGAAGATGGGGAAGCAGCGAGCAAGGTGCAGGGATTAAGGGATAGTGTTCCAGAGTTTTGCGGTGTAGTGGCTAAAAATTCGGTCACTAATGGTGGAATGAGGGACAAGCAGGAGGCCTGAGCCAGTCAAGCAGAGGCGATGGGTAGTGGATTGGGGAGTAAGCAGGTCACTTATGCTTTGTTTCTATGGATTTTGAAGTAATCTTAGACCCCTTAGGTTGAAATTATTGCCTTGTGTTTATGAAGAAGTATTTACTGCCCCTCTAAAAATAATGTAATCAAACCTTTGGTACGTCCTTGGAGCCAATAGGTTTGGAACCAGCACTGGCAACTTTGTGTAATATTTTTGCCTTCTGGGAGGTAGACAGTTGTGCATCTTTCTTTATAGTGTTGTTACGACTATTGGGACATCTTTTCTTCACCAGTAAACTCTTAATGTTTAAGTTTACCAGCTTCTTCCCATACAAAACAATCGGCTTGGTTTTCTTCATTTTTGCTGCTGAACTTTCAGTCATCTTTTCTGAGGTTTCAGAACGTGACGACTTTCTACCTCTACATCTAGGCTTAGCTGCAGAAGACTTCTGTCCTACAATAGAGTCCTCGCTGGTTTTAGAAGCAACATTCCCTCGTAATTTAGAAGTGGTTTTCCTTGAATTTCTTTTCAGAACCATCTTTCTTCGAGCTGCATTGTTAATTTTCATTGTTTGACTGGAACGCAAAGCAAATTGTTTATTTTTAGCTCTGGCAGACATCCTGTTAAACTTTCCCTTCGAACTGGGCAGCTGATGTTGAGAAGGTGTAAATAAACCAAAGGAAAAACCAGCTTCAATCAATTTCTGCGTCGGTATTCGTGTCCTTTTACCCACCCTGAGAATAGTTGCATTAGTTTTTATGGTATTCACATTTTGGTTCTCAGCATCTAAAGAACGATACCTAGTTTTCTGAGCTTTCCTTCTGCACTCTTGTGTTACACACGAAGAGGCTCTTGTTTGCCTTTCTTGGCTCTTGTAAGCAGTTTGTAACTGTTCTTGCTTCTTAATATCCTGTTTGGACCGTAAATGTAATGGATTCAGCTTGTCATTTCTCGTCAACTTCCCTTTAAGTGCACTCGCTGTCGTCAGCCTTTTTTCTACGCCCAAAGAGTTTTTACAAACATTTGGGATTAGTCTTTTATTTTCACGTCTTTTCCCACAAATTTTTACACTTTCTTCTGTCCGTGCAGGCAACCGTTTAGATTTTTTCTCTTCCAGAGCTTGTTTCACACTGTTCTCAGATAACACTGACGCACAAGTCCCAATGGAAAATGACTTGCGAGTTTGACGAGTGGTATGGCTGTTCAACGATGGCTTGGACCTAGTTCTGGATAGACGGCCTCTACCCTGAACAGGACCAGGACAACTTGCCATTTTGTGGTCCACCTTTACTGCCTTATATTTCCTACAATCTGAAGTAGAATTAAAAGACGTTCTCGTCTTTCCTCTAGCATTGTGCTCATTACATGGCAGACGAGATGCAGTACTATCTCTCAAGGAAGAACTTTTTACATTGATATCCTGTTTAGAAAATCTGGTGATTTTCTTCGTCAGTGGACTTCCTTTTTGGGGTTTTGATAACACTGAATTTTGTTTTAAGGAACACAAAGGCAACGGTTTTCCACCTTTTTTCACTCTTTTTGTAGCAATGCTAAGATTTATTATGGATTTTTGTGATCTTTCAGTTTTCTTTAAAGCATTACCTCCTCTGTTGCCACTTTTACTCAATCCTTGTTTGGTGCTTCTACCAGAACAACTGAGGCGACATGTTGCTTTAACTTTTGGGTTATTTATTTGTGTTGTAGATGGAATGCAAGCTACATTCTTTCCAGTGTGACCCTGAGACATGTTTTTGTGACTTAAAGTTTCACGTTTCTTTAGTGCAAATGAAGCTTGGTTTATTGCATCTCTTTTCGGTTTCTGTATTGGTGGAATAATCTTTTCAATGACAACAAAGCAATCAGCAAGTGTTTTTCTTTGAACTTTGTCTCCTTGTAATTCAGTGTTTGCATCAGCTGCTTTTCTTCTCCGTGTTCCGCCAAGTAAGGAATAATTCTTTACTTTGGGTTGACGAAGTCTTCGTTTTTGTTTCCAACCAGTCAGTTCCTCATCATCGATAACAGAGGTTTTTCTCCGCAACCCCAGAACACTAAGTAGTTTGTACTTCTCCGTCGTATTTGGAGAATAAAGTTCTTCTTCAGATGCCACCTGTTTGACAGGTGACCTAGCAAGCGTGCTCACTCCTTTGCCACCAACAGAGATACCTGGAGTGACTACAACATTATGGTCTAAATGATTCGAAACTTTTGCATGTGGTTTGGACTTCAAGGGGGTTTTCTCAAAGCTGCACTTTCTTGGAAGGCCAACATTTCTTGACATATTGTCAGCAACTTTCAAGTCTAAAGTATCAGGAATGTTACCTAGTGTTTTATTCATAGATGGACATCTTTGTGGAGAAAGAGGTTTAACCTGGGAGAAGTTTCCAGAATAGGGTGCTGAAGGGGTCCTATCGCAAAAGTTTAATAACTTATATCGTCTATTGGGACTCTTCAAATTACCATCACCAAGACCGTCCAACATTCCCATTCTCAAACCATCAACGGAATTTTCAGAGTGTGCTGGTCCTGACTTCATTTCTCTAAGCTTCACAGTGAAATCTGAGACTTTTGTCTCATCTTGAGTAACTGATTCGTGTTGATTTGAACAAAATGTTTGTTTCCCAACGTTATCCAGCAGTTTGTGTTGAGCTGTGCAGTATGACTGATCTTCTAGTTCATCAAACTTATAGAACATGTCAGGGACATGATGACTGGGTCCAGTTATAGATTGGTCAACAAAGCCTACAAATGAAGGAAATTCTTTTTTTTCTTCTTTGCTGGCTTCCTCTTTTTGCATTTTATGATCCCCGGATCCATGCAGTGAATACAACGCTGCACACATCTCAACCACCTCCCAAATCCGCAGGTGCCTAGCGAGAGCAGATGTCTCCGCAAAATAATCAGGTTTCACAGATAACGAAGACGTGTAGGAAAACTCCAGCAAAGGAAGAAAACTTTTACTGCTGAAACCTAGACAGAAAAGAGTGAATATAATGATTATACAAGAATGATTCTGAACTAGTTAACAATGAACTTCCTGGCCCGAGTGATATTTGAACATGTTTCTTCACAGTTTTAAATCCTAGTTTTATTATGTGCTTTGAGATATTCTATGTGAAAGGGGTTATATAACAGCACAGCTGGAGTTGAATGAGCGCTAACGTCCCGTAGCTGAATATTGATAAGACAGAAGCCATAATTTTTGGCTCCCATTGACGTTTTCTCACCTGTGGCTCCGACCTTCTTAACCTCCCCAACCTATCCCTCGGACACACTGAACCTCCGCGCAAATGTGGCATCAGGTTCAATCCACAATTGTCCTTTAGCTTTCCTCCCTACCCTACATCCGGTTTCCCTGACCAGGACCACTTTCCTTCCTCTGCCATATCACCTGCTTCCGACCATACTTCACACCTAAATGCAGCTGAAACCCTTTTCTATGCATTCGTCATCTTCAGTTTCGATTTTTCCAATACCCTCTTTGCCGGACTCCCCAGCTCCAACATGCATGAAATCCAATTAATTCAACAACAACAAAATTACATTTGTATAGCGCCTTTCACGTCGGGAGGACATCACAAGGCACTGGACAGTCAGCATTTCGGATCCGAGCTGGGGGAGTCGGGAAGGGTGAAGGGCAGGGTAATCGAAAGCATGGTCGAAGAGGAGGGTCTCGAGATGCGTCTTGAACTAAGTCTCAAAGAATTTTTACTGTAAATAATAATAATAGTGCCTTTCATGTCAAGAGAACAAGCTCTTCACAGGATATACTGTAAAAATGTGTATTTGGTGGGCAAACAAACAGCCAATTTGCGCCAGCAATGTCCTACAAACAACCATAAAGTGAATGACGAATTTTTATCTGGGGGATTGTTGGCCTCGACACCACTTTTCAAACAATGCTATGGTCTTTAACATCCACCTTAACAGACAGAAGGGACTTTGGTTTAGTTTTGGGAAAACAGAATACAAAAGTCTCTCTCTGGACGTTCAATCAAAAATTGATGACCACAGTTGAATAAAATTATCTGGCAACAGGTACAGAATGAAGTTATACATTCATGAAGTTTGAGTCCAATATACTGATGAACTATTTTAGCTGGCAAATACAATACAGTTTCTCCCACATTTCATTGTGAATCAACCTATTCCCTATTTCCAGTTCAGCTCAAGTGCTCATTGAAACAGAGAACAGCCCCTCACAATGATTATCTAGAATCTCATTTTCACAGTTAGGTGTGGTCAACAACACTCCTACGCTTTGAATAACATTCAGACAAAACTAGATCTTGAGATACACAATGCCAAAGCTTCCAGAATTAAAAGCAATTTAAATGCATTTGATAGGCCACATTACTTCTGATATCAAATTGTAATCTCTTTGAAACATACAAAACTTTTCTGTTAAAACACCAAAGGATGCTGTAAAACAGTAGCCAATAACTGTGTGAAACAGAACTTAAATATGCTCAGTGTCACTAATTGTACTCACAGCAGTTGTGTACAACATCCAAGCCATGACCCACTCTGCCTTCCCTCACCTCAGTAACATTGCTCGACTCCGCCACTACCTCACCCCTCAGGCCGCTGACACTCTTGTTCATGCCTTCATCACCTCCAGGCTTCACTGTGCAAACGCCCTGCTTGTCGGCCTTCCCAACTCCTCCCTCCACAGCTGCAGATAATCCGGAACTCTGCAGCCTGTGTCCTCTCCTGCACCAAACTTTGCGATCCCATCTCCCCCATTCTCGTCCGACTATCCTTCAGAGGATGCAGTTCAAGATCCTGGTCCTCATCTACAAAGCCCTCCATGGCCTCGCCCCATCCTACCTCTGCGACCTCCTAACCCCCTACCAACCTGCCCGCTCCCTCCGCTCAGCCGGCTCCACGTCCACCTGACCCATCTTCAGCCACTCTGCCCCCAACCTCTGGAATTCCATCCCCCAATCACTCTGCCTCGCCCCCTCCTTAGCCTCCTTCAAGTTCCCGCCTCAAAACCCTCCTCTTCGACCATGCCATCGGCCACCCCCCTTCCCCTCCCCTCCCTTCTCCCCCCTGACCCCAGCTCGGGTCTGAAATGCTGTACACTCTCTAGTGCCTTGGGATGTCCTCCCGACGTGAAAGGCGCTATACAAATGTAATCTTGTTGTTGTTGTATGATTATACTTTACAATTTAAAATGCATAATTTTACACTGAAATAAGTTTACAAATGTATTGATCAAAAGCCAGAGTGCCCCCCCACACAAATGTTCCAGGTACAACATTCACTTTAAATATATATTTTCCAATATCTTTATGGAGTTAGATTACAGCTTTTAGTATAATTACAGTTGTTATGCTGAATAACAAAGCACAAAATGTGCATAAACAGATGGGAGAAACCTGCAGTGGTATGTTATAATAATAATCCTTGTATTTGATATAGCGCCTTATCACGTCTTCAAGAAGTCTCAAAGCGCTTCACATACTGTAAAATGAATTGTCTGTATATGTTGAGGGCGAAACGTTCACATGGAGAACAGCAGTTACTTTGGGGGATAGATTCCTCCCATTCAGCTCCTCCAAATAAGCCAAAGTCATTATGGATAAGGTGTTCCTAGCTGGACAAGCAGTGGGAAGCTCGCTAAACAGTATTCTCAATAGCAAAGTATGCATTTCTAATTGGTTAAACTCCAGCAGTACGCCAATGCATACTCTGTGTTGCCAGACCTAGGCTCTCGCATTCCTTAGCCCATTACTTTCCAGAATTAGGTAAGCAGGAGTGTCCCTCCAAGGAAAGAAAGGACCTTCCATTTATAACACGGGAAAGTTTCCACGTGTACCTGACATACATGGAACTTTGGTTTGGGTACCCTTAAGCACTGCGATGGGTTTCCATATTTCCAGCTAACCAAATCATAAGATTATCCAGGTATTCCACACAAAATAGAAAAATGTTGTGTTAAAAGCGTACTCACCTTTCAGATCCACAACAATCTCCTTATTAGCAGTAAATCCCTTCTCTGAGAACAGTTCCTGGAAATATTCGCTGACACCTGCCAACACAGCACGGTGAGCTGGATAGGAGGTTTTCTCCACAATCAAAGTTACATCACAATAAAGTCCTTTGGAGCGTTGACTGTTCAATCTTTCAAGCAGTTCAGTGCAATGTGATGGGGACTCACGAGTTATGTATTTTTCTTCTGAAATCTACCGAGAAAGTACACGAAATTGAATAGCTGACAAACTACGTCTCACCATTCAAGTTCCCGATTCCACCCCACTACCGATATCACAAAGCAATGTTCACAAACAAGGTAAGAGACAGACTTCTGCACCAAGGCTATTTAAAATAATCACTCAGGAGAAGAGAAAATGGTTTGCCCAACTCCCCCAGACTTTCCCATCCATTCTTCCATCTGAACACACCATATCAATGCTAGATTCCCTTCCAGCTAAAGGGGAAAATGCAACCAAAAATACCAGACTGTGACAAAATATTTATTTTAAGATTTCCAAGATCTACAAAGATAAAATTATTTACAAAATAAACTCAATATTGGCTGTGTTCAGACACGCATCAGACTTTTGGAGAAAAACGTAAACAGGGTCAGCTTATCTTGTTTATCAAGTAAAATAAATCATTACCAACAAATTTTGAGCATATTACAAGAATTATACATTAAATATGGAGCATCGACAAAATGTATTCAATCAGGTTTGTTACTACCTATACTAAAATTTGTGTAGAAATATTAATAAATCTTTTGATTATTAATTAATCATTCAATTACTAAATCCAAGACATTCTAAGCATCTTGTGATGGGAACATTAACCAGAGCTTCCTCTATTTTGAAGTTCAGCATCCTAGAAATCAATTTTAATATTAATAAAAGTTCAAAAGGCCAAAGGAGTAGAGTGCTTTGACACACAATTGCACAAAGGTTGTATGCAACTCCATATACAGTACTGTGAACCCCTCCAGACAACTGAGAAATGTAGGCATATGGCTTCAAAATGCTTGAATAAATTCACAATTACAGGCTGACCCTGTTATAGGGCATCATGCAGTGGCTCATGGTACACTGCTTTCGGCTTTCAGTGCTTCTCATAGTCTTTCTGATATAACACACAAGCATCTTGCAGTGTCCCAGGAATTGCCACAAAAGCTTGCGAGAATAGTTGTTGGCTTCTTGCACAACTCTGCGCATTGGAAATAAGGTCAGTGCCAATTTTTCCAAACTGGATGCGCTAAGCAGCAGCCTTTTTTTAAATACAGTTTACATACACAAATCACTAATAGAACAGGCTCAGCCTATGTATAAACTTCCAGATAAACATCTACTGCTAGCTAACAAAAAAATACTTAATTAATCATGAGAAAGGAATAAATTTGCACTTTGTTGAGACTTTTCCTCTTATTCAATGCATTTATCATATTCAAATACAGTGATATATAAGCAATTAGGATCACCAACACTTACCCATTCTTTCTCTCTTCGGTCTTTACATTGGCTACATCCCTGGACATAATCTCTGATGTCCAAAAATATTCCTACAAAAGATTAATAAAACTGCATCACCAAAACAGATGCACACTCGAGTTTAAAAAAAGGAACTTTAAATGGCTAATAATAATCCTTGCATTTGCTATGTCTTATCATGCCATTGAGACATCTCAAAGAGCTTCACGGGATATACTGTAAAGTGGAATGACTGCGGACGAAACAGGGCAGTCAGTTGCACACAGCAATGTCCCGGAAACAATCACGCAAAATACACAGTCACAGCATTTTTCCGAAATTCCTGCGAATCGCTTTAAAACATTGCAGTAAATCATGTGAGGGCCTGCGAGACGTCCTCCCAACATCAAATGCAATGATTACTACTGAATTGCGAACCCACTATACAACAGAAAAACAGTTTTGCGATCTGAAAAGCTCCGGTGCTCGTAGGATGTGCGTAATCAGAAAGTTGACTAGTTTGTAGCAGGCATCTGATCAACGAATTTCAGGGCGGAAAAGGCCGCTTTGCGGTCGTGCTGGTCCATGTATCTTATCCTCGCAACATTTCTGCATTTTACAAGGAACCAGCGAGAGCTGTAGTGCTGCAGTACCAGGTTTCTCCCAATAGAGGCTCTTAATGAGCTATGCAAATAGTAGAGCCCTCCAGTGACTGAAAGCGTATTCATCTGTTTTGTCTTCTGTCAAAAATAACTTCAAACCAGTGGATGTTTGACCAGCGGGTCAGACAGCCGGATCGAGCCCGGGAAAAGAGTTAGCCACATTGAACAGAGCAGTTATTACGATGGGAAGCTGTGGGTAAACTCACGGCTTGAAATATTAAGGTGACATCAACCTTGCCTCTTCAGAACTCGATCAGCTTCACACACGAACCCCAGCTACATCACTTCCCCCCTATCACAGGAAGTACTATTCTTTAAACAGCAAACCAATCCAAATTCACCCATCTTCAAACCTTGCCTTCGAACGCACAGCCCCAAAGCAACAGGTTTTGCACTGAAGTGCCAACGGTTCGCTCGCAGCGCTCCGCCCCGACGACCAGAGAGCATGCAAACCAGCCGGACCGTCCGGGCAGTCCGAGCCACTCGAGGGGAGGCAGGCATCAGCCTAACCTCGCTCTTGCACACCTCCAGCAATCGGTTCAAGGGTAGGGTTAACAGTTGCATGGCAGCAACTCTTCCCCACCCCAAAGGTGTGTGGGGAAATTCTGACGGCACAGCAAGACCTGAAGTGGCGAAGAAAACACCTTAACAATCGGGTTCTGCTCCCAAATATCATACATGTGACTCATTTAAATCGTTTTGCAAACGGCTGTAAAGTTTTGGTATGCAGGACGCCAGGCAACATTCCTTGACGTTTGGCCTCCCCCACACCCACATACATACATACACAAACGCACACTGGTTAGCACTAATAGGTAGCTAGTCTTCAAAGCTTATCCCACATTTGTGATTGTAGATGAATGCCTTTTATGTGTTTGCATAAAAATAAACCCATTAGAGTGGAAAAGATGAGAATTCTGCAGGTGCTATCACACGACCCACAGCTAACGTAAGCACTGTACAGTATACGGACCATTTTTGTCGGGATGTTTCACGAGCTTGTTGGCATCCCCAGAGCAGCTCCACGAGCTCAGCCCCAGAGCTCACCGACTCTGTCCCAGAGGCCCCCCGACCCTGCCCAAATCCCAGCACCGAAACCCCGCTCTGCTCTGCCCCCACCCTCTGGAACTCCATCCTGCCGTTCCTCCGCCTCGCCCCCTCTCTTACCTCCTTCAAGACCTGTCTCAAGATCCTCCTCTTCGACCGTGCCTTTGGTTACCCTCCTCCCCCCACCGCCCCCACCCTCCTCGATCCCCAGCTCAGGTCCGAAAACACTGAATGTCCAACGCCTTGGGACGTCCTCCCAACGTGAAAGGCGCTATACAAATGTTAATTTGTTGGTGTTGCTCAGCCCAGGCAGACCCACCTTCCCATCAATAGTTCTCGGGAGACCTGTTGCATATTGCCCCCCCCCCCCCACCCAATCAGAGAAGCCCTCCACAGCTCCAACCCCAGAGGTCCTCCACAGAGCGCCCCAAAGCCCCCAACCCAGATGACACTCCCAGCCCCTGCCCAGGAGCCCCTCCAGCCCAAAACACTGCTCTGCTCAGGCCAGGTGGACCACCTTCCCACCAGCAGATCTCGGAGACCTTGCTGTAGGCTTCTCCCTCCATCTCCAATCCCCAACCCCCAAAAACAGCACTCTGCTGAACTACCAGTAGTTCTCGGGAGATCTTCCTATAGGTGCATTCCCCCATCCGCAAAGTCAAGCCCTCAACCCCCCCACCGCCCCCCCCCACAAAACCACATCCCAAGCCCCACAATTCCCCCAACCTTGAGATACCCCCCCCCCACACACAGTCCCAGAGCCCCCAACCCCTAGATACACCACTCTGCTGATCCACCAGTAGTTGTCGGGAGATCTTCCTGTGGAAGAGACCCCATCCACCACCGCAGCGCCGAGATCCCTCAAGCCCCAATTCCCCCCCCCCCCCCACCTTGAAAGTCTCTCTTCCACCTCCAGAGGCGAGAGCCCCCAAACCGTCAAAATCACCCCCCCAGCTCCACAATTCCCCCCCACTTCCCCCTCTCCCTCCCAACAACCCCTCCCCCTCAGCCCCAGAGCTCCCAACCACAGAACCCAGAGACCCCCCCCCCCCACACACACACAACCCCTCTCTCTCTCTGCCAACCAGTAGCTCTCAGACACCCTCTGGTCCATTGGAGCAGCTGAGACCCCTCCCCCCCCCCCCCAGCCACAGGGCCGAGACCCCCCCCAGCCACAGGGCCGAGACCCCCCCCCCCCCCCCCCCAGCCACAGGGCCGAGAGACCCCCCCCCCAACCCCTCCTCTTGTCTGCCTTCCCACCAGTAGCTCTCAAGACACCCTCTGGTCCATTGGAACAGCTGAGACCCCCCCCCCCCAACCCCAGCCACAGGGCCGAGAGACCCCCCCCCCCACCCCCAGCCACAGGGCCGAGAGACCCCCCCCACCCCCAGCCACAGGGCCGAGAGACCCCCCCCCACAGCCACAGGGCCGAGACCCCCCCACCCCCAGCCACAGGGCCGAGAGACCCCCCCCCCCACAGCCACAGGGCCGAGACCCCACCCCCTCCACAGCCACAGGGCCGAGAGACCCCCCACCACAGCCACAGGGCCGAGAGACCACCCCCTCCACAGCCACAGGGCCGAGAGACCACCCCCCCCAGCCACAGGGCCGAGAGACCACCCCCACCCCTCCTCTTGTCTGCTCACCTTCCCACCAGTAGCTCTCAAGACACCCTCTGGTCCTCTTGTCTGCTCACCTTCCCACCAGTAGCTCTCAAGACACCCTCTGGTCCATTGGAACAGCTGAGACCCCCCCCCCACCCCCAACCTCTTGTCTGCTCACCTTCCACCAGTAGCTCTCAAGACACCCTCTGGTCCATTGGAACAGCTGAGACCCCCCCCCACCCCCAACACAGCCACAGGGCCGAGAGACCCCCCCTCACAGCCACAGGTCCGAGAGACCCCCCACCCAGCCACAGGGCCGAGAGACCCCCCCTCCACAGCCACAGGGCAGAGAGACCCCCCCACCCACAGCCACAGGGCCGAGACACCCCCCCCACAGCCACAGGGCCGAGACCCCCCCCCACAGCCACAGGGCCGAGACCCCCCCACAGCCACAGGGCCGAGAGACCCCCCCCCCCACAGCCACAGGGCCGAGAGACCCCCCTCCTCTTGTCTGCTCACCTTCCCACCAGTAGCTCTCAGACACCCTCCTGTAGGTCTCCTCCATGGAGCAGTGGCGGGGGCCGGGCGGCTGCCGGTGGAGGGAGTGGATGAGGCGGCGGCGGCGGCGGGGGGGGGGCTGGCGGGCGGCCAGCAAGACCCGGGTGTCGCCGGTGGCGCCCCTCTCCAGCCGCTTGCGGTACAGGGTCCCGTCTATCACCCGGTAACCCGAGGGCGGCGGCGGCGGCGGCGAGGAGGAGGAGAAGGAGGAGGAGGCGTCCGCCGCCACCGCCGCCGTCGTCGCCTCCTCCTCGGACATTTTACTTCTGGAATGTTCTTCCTCTTCGTCGTCGTCGCCGCCGCCGTCTTCTCCGCCGCCGCCGCCGCCCCGCCGCTCGGAGCCGCCGAAACACGGCTCATCATCCGCCGCCGCCGTCCCCGTCGTCTCCTCCTCCTTCAAGTAACGGCTCACGGAGACCTCGGCGTTATCGCCGGACATTGTTGACCCACTCTTCCTCCCACACCGAAGAGCCCCGGGGGCGGGGCGGGGGGGGGGAGGGGGGGACCGAGAGTCGGGTGGGGTCGGTGTGGGGGACGACGACGACAACGACGACCCGAGGCCGAGGCGCGCGCGCGTGAGAGAGAGAGAGAGAGAAAAAAACCCGATTCAAATAAAATAAAATAAAATAAAAACCGAGAGAGAAAGAGGGGGAAAAAAAAAGAGACTCTCCTCAAAATTTGACTTCCAAACCCACCACCACCAGCACCAAAAAAAAAGTTTTTTTTTCTTCTCTTTTTTTTTGAGGGCTCTTTTTCCTTTTAATTAATTTTTCTCCCTCTCTTTAATATCGTCAACGGTGCACTCGCGCGCGCGCGGGTCTGTGTGTGTGTGTGGGTGTGTGTTCGGGGAGTTCGTGGCGAGAGAGAGCGAGAGAAAAAAAAATAGAAGTTTTTTTTCCAAAAAAAAAACAAAAATAAAATAAAAATAATAAATCAATCAAAAGAAATTCACGAAGAAACGGCGGATTTTTTTTTTCTCTTCGCCCTCTCTCTCTCTCTCTCTCTCTCTCCCCTCTTCACTCTTTTCTCTGCCCGACCGACCGACCGGACCGGACCGACTCCGCCGGCACTTTAATACGCAGACGGGAGGGAGAGCTTCAACCTAACCTGTTGTTTTTTTTTGCGCGCGCGGGCCCGCCCGCCCGCTCCCGTACCCGGACTCAACCTAACTTGCTTCCCTCTCCCCCGCCCCTCCTCCTCCTCCACGGCTTTCTGGACCCCGTCGTCAGACGCCGCCCGTCCACCTAACCTGCTGGCTGGCTCGCTCTCTCGCTCTCTGTCTGTTCCGTACACAAAACGGTCGACCTACCTCGCTTGCTGGTTTGGGGGCGGGGCCAGGGGGGGGCCGGGGGAAAGAAAGGGGGCGGATCGCCCGCGCTGATTGACAGCGCGGCCAAGGGGGGCGGGGGAAAGAAAGGGGGCGGATCGCCCGCGCTGATTGACAGCGCGGCCAAGGGGGGGGCGGGGAAAGCGGGCGGATCGCCCGCGCTGATTGACAGCGCGGCCAAGGGGGGGCGGGGAAAGGGGGCGGATCGCCCGCGCTGATTGACAGCGCGGCCAAGGGGGGGGCGGGGAAAGGGGGCGGATCGCCCGCGCTGATTGACAGCGCGGCCAAGGGGGGCGGGGAAAGAGGGCGGATCGCCCGCGCTGATTGACAGCGCGGCCAAGGGGGGGCGGGGAAAGGGGGCGGATCGCCCGCGCTGATTGACAGCGCGGTCAGTGGGGGTGGGAAAGGCGGGTGCGCACCCCCAATGCTCAAGACCAGGTCCCAACCAGCTCCCTCCACCACCACCCCCCCCACCCAAACCGCGCCATACCCAGTCCTGGCTCTCTTCAATGCAACCACACAGCGGCTTTGCGAAATAGAACGGTTTTGGCGGCGGCGGCGTCGTCGTCGTCGTGCTACTTTGCACAGGGCGTCCACCAAGTTCTCTTACGCACATAATAATCATAATAATAATAATAATAATAATAATCCTTGCGTTTGATATAGCGCCTTTCACGTCGGGAGGACGTCCCAAAGCGCTTCACAGAACACACCGTAAAGTGAATTGACTCTGTCTATCTGTGGGCGAACGCGGCGGCCGATTGCGCACAGCGATGTCCCCACAAACAGTCGTGGATTGAAAATGACCGATTTATTATTGTTTGGGGGTTTTGGGAGGGATTAGTATTAGGCTCTGTGTGGAGTAAGGGAACTCGCCCGAGGTTTCGCCCTCTGCCTGGAATTGAACTCGGGTCTCTCGCTCGCAAAGCGAGTGCTCCAACCGCTGAGCTACAGGACTCCACACATCCACGCATCGCACATCAAAGTGATTCACAGGATGCACGTGGTGTGACTGTATTTCGTGGGGGAATGTTATGGATTCTTTTGCGTCTTTGTGCTCGGATTGTTACCCCCCAACAACGACTTGTATTTATTATTAGCGCCCTCGGTAGTCTGGGTCCACAGTTTTCCAGGGTTCTACTGACGACAGCACAGCACAGCCCAGCCTGGCACATTGGCAGGATTTGGAGGGGCAGACCAGTCACTGGGGACAGGGAATCCTCCCACTCAGCTCCTGTTCACCCTTCAAGCTAAAGCCACGATGGCTATTGTGGTCCTGGACGGAGAAGCAGCGGGAAAGCTCGCCAGACAGTGCTCTCAATGGCAAGCTATGAGGTGTTAGTTGGTTAGACTCCAGCAGTTACCCTTAAGGCCCATTTTGGGGCCCCCATGCCTTGGCTCTTGCCAACCTGCGCCTATTGCTTTTTTGGAATTAGGTAAATAAGATGCGTCCCTCCAGGGAGAGTTCTCACCATTCCCAGATAGGTTGGCAAGTACAAGGAACTCCCCGTGAGCTTTCTGGTGGGCCACACAGCTTAGCATGAAATATGTGAGGGCACCGCCAACATATTCTTTTCGCTCACAAATATACAGTCAATTCACTTTCCAGTATATTCTGTGAAGTGCTTTGAGACGTCTAGAAAATAAGAACATAATAAATGCTAGACGAAAACAGACCAAGGTCCATCTAGTTCCCCGTCCACCTTCCTGGCGGTCACATGCACATATGTCCCAAACTATCTATGTACTGTATCCCATAATGTTATTTCCTAAAAAAAATCTGTGTTTGAAAGAATCAACGCTTCCTACTTCAACCGTCTGCCTAGAGAACCTGTTTCACAGGTTCACTATTCGCTCACTGAAATAGTGTTTGCATAGATTCATTCTGAATTTACCCCCCTTCAATCACAGGCTGTGTCCTCTAGTTCCATCCCCTCAATCATTTTGGTTGCCCTCCTCTGTATCTTCTCATTTCTTCCAATATCCTTTTTTGTACTGCAGCGACCAGAACTGTACACAGTACTCTAAGTATAATCTCACCAATGATTTATACAGTGGCAGGATTACCCCACTATTTCAGCTTCCTATTGCTCTTTTGATACATCCCAACATCTGGTTTGCTTTACTCACTGCCGCAGAGCATTGTTGGGGGAGCTTCAATTTATTGTCAATCAGGACCCCCAAGTCCTTTTCATTTTCCATACATATCATTTTCCTTCTGTTTAAATATTAGGGAGTCCTGTAGCTCAGTGGTTAGAGCACTCGCTTTGCAAGCGAGACACCTGAGTTCAATTCCAGGCAGAGGGCGAAACCTCGGGCAAGTTTCCTTACTCCACGTGCCTCGTAATAATAATCCCTCCAAAACAAAACAATAATAAATTGGTCATTTTCAATCCACGACTATCACTGCTGTGCGCAATTGGCTGCCGCGTTCGCCCACAAATATACAGTCAATTCACTTTACAGTGTGTTCTGTGAAGCGCTTTGGGACGTCCTCCTGACGTGAAAAGCGCTATATCAAATGCAAGTATTATTATTATTATTATCTTATTCAGCTTCACAATCTACCACTTTCATTAGCTTGGTGCCATCTGCAAACGTAACCGCTGTACTTATAAAAATATTAAACAAAAGAGGTCCCAGAACAGACCCTTGTGGAACTCCACTAGTAAAATGTTCCCACTCTGATGACATTCCCTGTACCACCACCCTCTGGGTTCTTCCAGTCAACCAATTGCACATCCATTGTAATATACCTCCACTGATTCCCGCTTTCTTTTGCTTTCAGTACCAACCTCTCAAGAGGAACTGTAACAAAGGCCTTACTGAAATCCAGATATACAACATCCACAGCCTTACCCTTATCAAGCTCCCTTGTCACATCGTCAAAGAAAACCAGCAAATTAGATTGGCAAGACCTTCTCTCATGAACCCACATTGGCTATCATTTATGATTTTATTTCTGTCCAGATATTCCATGATTTTATCGTTAATAAGAGTCTCTATAATTGTACCCACAATGGATATCAAACTTACCGGTCTGTACTTTTCTGGGTCACTTTTGTTATCTTTCTTAAAAATAGGAGTAACATCTGCCTTTCTCCAGTCCCCCGGCACCTCTCCAGTATGCGGTGATTTTTGAAAGATTTGTGTCAGCGTTTCTGCGACTTCCTCCCTTAGTTCCTTAAGGATCCTCGGATGCAATTTATCCAGCCGCTGAGATTTATTTACCTTAAGTTTATCCAGCTGTTTGGCAACCATGCTGGTCGTGATATGAATAGTGTCGAAACTTTTCTCTGCGCCACCCTTGAGTTCTCTTTCCAGATCAGATAGGTTACCCACCTCCTCCTTGGTAAAGACTGATCCAAAAAAAGTATTTAGCACTGTTACAACCTGTGCAGCATTATTTGTCATGTTGGCCCCCGAACCCACCTTCAGTGGCCTTATTCCATTGCTTGTTTTTCTTCTACTCTGAGTCCTGCAGTTCAGTGGTTAGAGCACTTGCCTCACGAGTGAGACACCTGGGTTCGATTCCCAACAGAGCGAAACCTTGGGCAAGTTTCCTTACTCCACACGCCTGATAATAATCCCTCAAGAAAAAAAATAATAATTTGGGCACTCAATCAGCGACTGTTTGTGGGACACTGCTGTGCGCAATTGACTGCCACGTTTCGCCCACAAAATATAGTCAATTCACTTTACAGTATATTCTGTGAAGCGCTTTGAGGC